GAGAGAGAGAGAGAGAGAGAGAGAGAGAGAGAGAGAGAGAGAGCATGGATGAAGAAGGCCAGGAGGGGCAAAGAGAGAAAAAGAAAGAGAGAGTGAGGCAGGGAGAGAAGAGGGTCGCCTACCATAGATGAGGATGCTGATATTGGGTTGATGAATTCTGCACTGTTGAGCACTTGGTGACTGGATCTCCGAAACTGATTAATGCAGGGCTGGTCCCCGGATGGACGGGGAACCCCTACCCCATCTGTGGTCGTCCCGGTCGGACCGGCCGGTGGCCTTGCCCCCAGCGCATTTTTGCTGGGGCCTGAATTTTTTTTTTTTGGCGGCGCGTACGTGTCAAGGACGCCTCGTGGGGGCGGGCCCTGCCCCGCAATAACGAAACCGGGTCGTGTAGGCCTGCATTTTCGATCTCCAGAAAGTGGCCAATCTTGGCCGCCGATCGTCGCATATTAGCGGCAAAGATCGACCACTTTTTTGAATCCGATGTCACGGGCGTGTTCATCCGCTCACCTCCAGTTTGTGCAGCCGCTCCGCTCCGTCGTCGCCTCCGACAGCCAGCCGTGCCATCGTCGCCACCGCCAACCAGCCGCGCCATCACTCGGTGCAGCCACACCATCGTCTGTAGGTCTCCGCGGGGTGCAGCATTGCCATGGTCGCCTCCACCAGCCAGCCGCGCCATCATGGCCCCCCGCCAACGAGGCACTCCATCATGCCCCCAGGTTTGTTTCTTCTTCTTCTTCTTCGTGGCCACTCTCCTTGCCCGTTAGCCACAGGCGTCCTCCGCTTCTTCTTCTTCTTCTTCTCCTCCTCCTGCTCCTCTAGTCCTCCTTTCTTAGCCATCAGCTTGCGTTCTTCTTCTTCTTCTTCTCCTCCTCTTCTTCTCCTCCCTCTTCTTCGTCTTGAAGTTCTTCTTCCTCCTCCTCCGTTGGCCATACCCGTTTTTTTTTTTTTTTTTCGTTTCTGCCTCAAGGCCCCTGTTTTCACTCTTCTTCTTCTTCTTCTTCTTCTTCTTCTTCTTCTTCTTCTTCTTCTTCTTCTTCTTCTTCTTCTTCTTCTTCTTCTTCTGCTTCTTCTTCCTCCTCCTCCTCCTCCTCTTCTTCTCTCCCCTCTTCTTTGTCATTTTCTTCCTCCTCCTCCTCCTCCTCTTCCTCTTCTCCTCCCTCTTCTTTGTCATCTTCTTCTTCTTCTTCTCCCTCCTCCTTATCTCCTCCATGTCCGTTAGGTGTAGCCGTTCTTTTTTTTTTTTGGTCGTTGCTGCTTTAACTCCCTTGCGTTCTTCTTCTTCCCTCCTCCCTCCTCCCTCCTCCTCTTCCTCCTCCTCCTCCTCCTCCTCCTCCTCCTCTTCTTCTCCCCCTCCCTCTTCTTCGTC